GGTGTTGCATTTTGGTAAAACAAACAGGGGCAGGAATTGTACAATTAAAAGTAGGTCCGTGGGTAGCGTTGTGGAACAGAGAGACCTCGGGGTTCAGATACATAATTCTTTGAAATTTGCATCACATGTAGACAGGTTGGTTAGTGTCCTTTAGCACACTTGCCTTCATTGCTCAGACCTTTGAGCATAGGAAGTTGGAAGTCATGTTGAAGATGTACAGGACATTGGTGAAGCCTCTTCTGGAGTAGTGTCCAGCTCTGGTCGCCCTGTTATAGGAAGGATATTATCAAGGTGGATAGGACTCAAAGATTTATCAGGGTGTTGCCAGGAATGGAAAGTTTGGTTTTAGGGAGAGGCTGGATAGGCTGGGTTTTATTTCACTGGAGTGTAGGGAGTCGAGGGGTGACCTTTATAGAGGTTTTTAAGATCTTGAAGGGTATAGATAAGATGAATGGCAGGTGTCTTTTCCCAATGGTGTGGGGGCATATTTTTAAGGTGAGAGTAGAAAGATCTACAAAGGATCTGAAGGGCAACTTTTTTTTTTTTTTTACAGAGCGTGGTTTGTATCTGGAATGAACTTCCAGAGGAAGTGGTAGATGCAGTTACAGTTACAACATTTAAAACTACATTTGGATATGTACATGAATAAGAAAGGTTTGGAGGGATATAGGCCAAGAACAAGCAAATGGAACTAATTTAGTTTGGGATTATAGTCGGCGTGGACTGGTTGGACCAAAAGGTCTGTTTCTGTTCTGTATGGCTATATATCTCAATGACTGTTTCTTTATCTTGACAGTTTTATGAGCATTTCAACCTCATTATGTGGCTCACAAGCTTTGTGTATTGTAAAGACTTGGCCAAGATTTGATTTGAAACAGAGGAAATGAGGATTTGGGTGTGCTATTGGTATATAAAACAAGTGAAGGAAAACACCAGGTTCTACGTTGCATTTAAGAAATGGCACTGGAAAAAGAAAGGATTTCCTGCAGGTTTCAGAGTTGTCCCCAGTAATCCTAAAGCAAATTTCAAAACACAAATTGATCAATTTGGCAGGTAAACTGGAGGTAGAATTGCCTAACAAAACAAAAAAGGCAGACATAACTAGTTAATAGTATAACACATGGGTTTAGAGGTAATACAAAAGAGGTGGAGTACCTCAGTTAGTGTAATGTTACAATCAGGTGATATTCAGTTACAATTGAAGCAGCAAGAGTATAGGAGAGAATAGAGATTAAAGATGGCATAAAAATACAAGGAAAGAGCAGAGAAAGATAAAGAAAGGGAGATGGAGTTAAGAAAACAGGAAATGGGAATGCAAAAACTAAAATTAGAAGTGCCACAAGAAGATAAAGCCTAAATACCAGATTAAAATAACATAGATGAAACAGGAGATGTTAGATGCTGAGTGCTAGTGTAGAGAACATAACATAAGAACATAAGAACTAGGAGCAGGAGTAGGCCGTCTGGCCCTTCGAGCCTGCTCCGCCATTCAATAAGATCATGGCTGATCTTTTCGTGGACTCAGATCCACTTACCCGCATTCTCACCGTATCCCTTAATTCCTTTATTGTTCAAAAAAAATCTACCTTTTTTTTAAAAATGTTTACTGAAGTAGCGTCAATTACTTCACTGGGCAAGGAATTCCATAGATCTGAGAATCTGAGACTTAATTTAAGCTCCAGTAAGGAAATGTTTTAGTTTGCACAGGCCCTACTGCAATTTGTGGAAAAGGATGTGGAGGCAAGAGTATTGTGTACAGTTCTGGGCACCACATTATAAGATGTGAATGCATTAGACACAGTGTAGAAGACGTTCACAAGAATCGTTCCAGGAATGCAAAACTTCAGTTACGAGAACAGATTGAAGAAGTTGGGACTGTTATTCTTGGAGAAGAGAAAGCTGAAGACAGAAGTTTTCCACATCATGAGTGGACTGGATGTGGTAGATAGGAAGAAACTGCTCCTGCTCATAAAAGGACCAAGAACCAGAGGGCACAGTTTTAAATTGTTTTGCAAGGGAAGGAAATGTGAGGTGAGGATTTTTTTTCCCTCCGCAGTGGTTAGAGTATGATGTGCCTTACCTACAAATGTGGTGGAGGCAAGTTCAATTGAGCATTCAAGAGGGCATTGGATGATTATTTGAATAAACAATATATTTTAAGTTTACAGGGAATAGACAGGAGATTGGCACTACAAGCCGTAATGTTCATTCAGAAAGCAGGTGCAGACACAATGAGCCAAACAGCCTCCTTCTGCACCAGTTTTGATTCTTATAATGATGTGGAGGTGCTGGTCTTGGGCTGGAGTGAATAAAGTCAAAAATCACATGACACCATGTTATAGTCCAACAGGTTTATTTGAAATCACAAGAAACCTTGAGATTTCAAATAAACCGTGGGACTATAATGTAGTGTCGTGTGATTTTTGACTTGATTTTTATAGACTGGATTAGAAAAACAATCCATTGTTTAGCCCCTAGTAACTAATACAGTGAACCTCAGGTGCAAATGAAAAGCAGCAGCCCTATTATCAACTGCCCAATCTGTGAAATTGGTATTGTCAATTAGACTTTGTAAAGCATCTAATCCAATTCACCCTACGGAACACAAGAAATCAGAGCCACACAATACCTCTCACTCGTCAATTCTCAAATATTTCTTGACCATCTTTGCAACTGAATTTGTAGCTTCCTCTATAACTACCTCTCAATAATTGCAATGGCCACTCAATTCTCCTTAATCAGTTGAGGGCTCTTTCGATGAAGACCGCTCGATCAATTACCACCATTAAAAATCTCTGTACATTCTGGAAAGATTACTACAGGGTACCAGGATTTTATATGAATGTTGTGAAAACAAACCATGCAAGTGCATCTGTGCAATCACATTAAACGACAGGAAAATGTTGTATTCATCTCTTTATTTATAGAAAAATACTGTACAATGTTGCAAACACAGTCTTCAGATATGGACAGTCCAGTATAAAGAGAGTTTTAATCAATATCATAAACAAGAAATCCCTGCTCTGTTATCACAAGTTTGGGTCCATCAACCTAAAATAATCATAATTAAATCCAACATTCACTAAATCTTTAATTTTATTTGAAACTTTAAAAATTGTACTGGTCATTACTGCAATTCTTTTTATATGTAATTTACAGTTATTTAAACAAATAAGCCATTTGTCAAATAGCTTAGCACAGTTTAAAAATTTACATATTCACTTTTGAAATATTAATTTCATTCCAAGTTCATTACGCTAATTTAGAACATTACACTGTTAATTACAGAACTGTAGTTTTTGTGCAAAAATAATTCAGTATAGATTAACATAACATCAATGGCAGCAGCACAACTGGCAGTTGCAGCTAAGCCGGCCCCATATACACAGGGAGGTTCACTCGTTGCTATGATTATAATTCTTTGACAATAAAAAGCACTCAAGTTCCATGCTCTGGTGTTCTTAATATTTGAGTTTTGGTCTGTAGTTAAAAACACAATTTTCTGGTAGGGAGATATTCCGTTCACATAGTTTTTGTAGGCTCTCAATAACAACCAGGGCAGGTGAGTTTGCGTCTGTTTCCTGCGTTAACATTACCCTCCTACCCAGCACCCCCCACCCCCCACTTACCCGCACCCCCATAAAAAAGAGGTGAGGTTAGCCAGTTGAATCTGCAATGGATGGGCTGAGCTCTCAGCTTGTTCAAAATGCAGTATTCACATGCCAGACCACTTTAGACTTTCCTCAACACAAAGGGAATATTGACAGCAAGGAGACGAAGATTTTAATGGCAACATTTGAGTAAAGATGCTTATGCATGCCTGATACATACATGAATATCACTTTGCTCGTTTCTGATCTGCCTTGTAAGCAAGGCAAATTGAAGAATCTGGCAATTAGTTCATAAGATCGAAGTTTCACTGTGTAAATGGTGGAATCTATAATTATAAAAATGATTTGCAGTATAACATTATACATTATCAAAAGCAATATTTGGTGATTTAGTATTATTCAGATTCTCAGATAACATCCGAGAAAATTAATATAATTTATAAGTGGGTTATAACCAATTAGTCAGGATACAGGTTGCTGGTGTTATGGAAACACTTCTAAGATATAACAGGTGTTCCCAGGATGTAGCATTCTAATCGCTACAGACCTCAGTATTTCCTGGTCTGCAGTTCTGAGGAACGTTACTCTCTGCTGGAAGCACCCAATCACCCATATGGCAGAGGATTGCTCAGGGCCAAAATAACCATTAAATCTTCGAGGACCTACCTAAACATTATAACAGTGCAACTAAAATATGTACAAGATTAAATTTTGTATGTTAAGTCTAAGTACATTACGAATAAAAGGTTTTTTTTTGTTATTCATTAATGGGTTGAAGGCATCACTAGTAAGGCCAGCATTGGTAGTCCATTTCTCAAGGGCAATTAAAGATGGGAATTAAATGCTAATGCCTTTTGCCAAGCATGTTCACGTCCCAAGGGCAGATTTTTTTTTAAAAAAGTACAATGTCATGCAATTATCACAATCTATATTAAAATACTTGGCCTTTAGAATTTACAAAGAATAATTTTTATGTTGTATAACAACATTGTCAAAATTGGTGAGTTAACGTATACTTTCTGGTGTCTCAAACCATTTCTAATCAGAATTCATAAATTAAAATGTAATTTTTCAATTATCATCTGATAACAAAGCTGAAATGGGGCCAGAACACCAGTAAACAGGTTGAATAGATTATATCACTTCCATAGGAAGTGGCAAAGCTTCTTAATCTTTAAAAGATTGAGTTTGTTAAGCTATGAAGCAAGTAAACTCACAAACATTGCTGTCAGTTCTGAAGTTAGTCTTCAGGCAAAAGTTAAACTGAACGAAGAGCTCTTCACCTCAATCTTAGCTTGGGAATCAAAGGTGAATGTATAGTTTTAGAAATGTTATTGTGCTCTGGAAATACTTTTAATCTTAAATTTAAATTATTATGTCCCACTCCAGTGACAACACAAATGGCCAATTCCACCTACAATGCCTGTAGTTACAGCCAACTGATATCTGTGCCAGTGCTCTGCCCCAACCTCACCTCAGCTGTATTTCCCAGAAGAAACCAGCCTCCAAAAGATCGGATCAAGTGGAAGGTTGGATGAAGGGAGTACCTGCCATCTCCCAGTTTTGGTTTCACGTTGTGAAGCAGGATCAAACGGTTTCTCAGAGATCCAGCTTTAGCTGCATTTAGTTACCTTTTGTTCTCAAGAAAGATCAGAAAAAAACCTTTTGAAAAAAAGACAGATTTTGAAGCAAAGAAAATTTTGGGGCACATGGTACCATTTCCTTCTGTAAAGACTGTTCTCCATTAAGATAGGCCATAGCAGTAACATCTTGAGTAGAAGACATTGCCTGCTACCTGATTTTATCTGCAAATTCCTGTCACTGAGCTTGAAAAATTGCACAGGCATCTCTGTGGATAACAGCATGGTTGATAACATGAATGATGAGGGGCCAACCAGCACAGTCCAGACCTGAAAAACCATCCAACTCTAACAGGCAATGCTAAACAAACACAAACTTACAGTATTTATTTTCAAACAAGATTGACTCTGTCTCTCAGGCTCAAGGAGAGGACAGTAAGACTTAGATAAGTGATTTGTTGTTGAAAGCGTGATATATTATCCAAAAGAAAAGGATTGTTTGACCACTTCTGATTACCACTTACAAAAATGTCTACAGCCAGGAAAACAAAAGCATTTGACTTGGTGAGGTATTTGGAGATAGAATAATATCTCCAAAAGCATGCCCAGTTACTATCCAGTGTCTCTGAATGACAATGTTTCCAATATCAACATGCCAAACACTGAAAGCACCAGTAAGTATCCTCCCAGTCTCCTCATCATTAGGGTCAAACAGTAAGCATGGAATTTGAGCCCCTGAAACTGGAGTCTGCAAACTGGATTGAAATTTTGGCAGTGAGCTCTCCAATCATTCTTTTCAATCAAAAATAATTTACTGCAAGGTAGAAAACTGAAAATTTAAAAATGCCTGAGCGGGGAGGCAACAACACAATACAAAACTGCCTGGCTGTTTTATTTGAGCCTCATCTGTAAATTTACTTTATTCAGCTACCAATTCATTTATTGAGCCATTGAGGATGTTAAGAGCAATTCTACCAATCTGGATTTCTCTGCAGGTGGCACCTTTGAATATCATTGACCCAGCTGTTCTCTTTTATTTTTACTCAATTAATTCAGAAACAAATACAGAAACTCAATGTCTTCCTGTGTGGAAATGAGTTGGGCATGCGTGTATAACAAACTCTCTTAGGCACTCCCTGTGCTCACTCCTCACTCCTATGTTAACCTGAATAATTGGTGCTCCCTTCTGTGTTGGACGAGACAAGGTAAATTTGAACATTTTTCACCTGGCATTTGCACCTCAAGGTGCTTTATATTTTTAATCATGACAGCAATTCAGGACTTTGGTTAACTTCTGGGCTGCTTTGATTAGAGAGGAGACCAAGGATATGACTGAACTGCCTCTGACTCTCCAAGTAAAGGGAAGAACTAGGTATCCTTTACTTGAACTTCCTTTAGCATCTTTAGCACCTCCTTCCTGTTTGCCTCCTGAAGCCAAGTCAGGAAATGCAAAACCTCAGTGGACTGCTTGACTGTGAACTCAGCTTTCCTCTCTCACATCCAGTCTATTATTAACACAGTCCACAGTCACTCTCACTTCAGGGCCCAATATTCTCATCGTTTCTCATATCAGCTCTTCAAAAGCTTCTACACATCCAAAACAATGCTGCCATTCTAATGCTGTGCACCTTTCTGAGCTCCTCACTGCTTTTAAGGATCATTTATTTCATAATAATTCACCTATTGGATTGGCCAAAACCTAATTAATCACTTGGCTTTTGTTGAAAAGCCAGTTACAAAAAGTCTATTCATATTGTTGTAAAATGGGCAACATTGAAGTGAGTATTACTTTCCCAAGAAAAGTCACCCAAAAGATTTGTTGGAGCAACAATATTATTATCTCGACTCCTGTAAACAGAGGTTGAACAGACATGTCAAAGCAACTCATTTCAGGATTAAAACTGAAAAAAATTATGGATGCTGTAAATTGAGAACGAAAACGGAAGTTGCTGGAAACACTCAGCAGGGGCAGCATCTGTGAAGAAAAATCAGAGTTAGCATTTCGGGTCTGGTGACCGTTCTGAGGAAGGATCACTGGACCCAAAATGTTAACTCTGTTTTTTCTTCACAGATGCTACCAGACCTATTGAGCTTTTCCAGCAACTTCTGTTTTTTGAACTCATTTCAGGTATCAGGCACTAACCTTTTAATTGTGTCATTCTCTCAAATTCCCGTTGAGGTTACATATACACAAATAATAGTTTCTCTTCTAATCTCATGCTGGAAGCTTTATGGTTTACCAAATAAAGTTATTTCTTTTTCATCAGTATTGCAAACTTTAAAAAAAAATCTATTATCTAAAACTACCTGAAGCAATGTTTACATAAAAATGATGTTAGTTGAAACGAGCAATGTTCAGCACGGCTCAAACATCTGCCTGCTTGGCTGACTCATTCACTGAAGCTCATTTCCCAAATTACTGCTCAACATGTTCTTGACCTCCACTCAGAGCCTGTGGCTAATATTCTGCCCAATCATTGATTCCACATTGCTCACCGTTCAACAGAAAGTAAGTAAACACTATTACAATCCAATGTTAGGATGATCCCTGCACAAAAGGAGTGCCTTTGATGGCATGGTAAGGTGTACAGTTTGAATGAAGTCAAAATCAGTCATGCCCTTATCTCCCTTCCCTGGCTATCATTCTTGTGGCCAAGTGTCAGATCTCCACTCAAAGTACCTCCGGCAACAGGCTTGAAACGGAGGACCCATCACAATTAAGGAATTTCCATCACATCAAACAAAAACCAAAAGCAATGCAGATGCTAGAGATTAGAAACAAGAACAGAAATTGCTGGAAAATCTCAGCAGGCCAACATCTGTGGAGAGGAATCAGAGTTAATGTTTTGGATCCAGTGAGAAGAACTCCAGTTCTGAAGAGGAGTCACCGGACCCGAAAGGTTAACTCTGACTTCTCTAGTAGATGTTGCCAGACCACTGAGATTTTCCAGAACTGCATCACACCGTTCCTGATATGCAATGCATCAGTGCAATCACAAGAATTGTATGTGAGAAAGACTGGATAGATACATTGAGTTGCAAAAACGTATTGCACACTTTGGCTTCTAAAGTAGGCAGCACAAGCCTGGCATCATTCATCGTATGTGTGTGTGTGTGTGTGTGTGAGAGAGAGAGAGAGAGAGTGTGTGCAGGTATGTTCAATTTTTCTATTGAACATGCCCGGTATTGACTCAGCAACAAGGACAAGCAGCACTTGTGTAGATTAAGGTTTTGTTGATCCTAACAGTATGATGATCCACTTGTTTTTAGGATTACCTCTCTTTGGCACAAGCAGATCAGAAATCTCTTCATGACGTGCTGCTGCGTCTCCTCGGCCTGGACGGCCTTCTTTTGAAACTCACTTCCTCATTGTCACTGTCATATTGTCTCTAAAACAAGAAAGAAATAATGTGCATTGGATTTCACACCTCATCACAGAGTCTCTCAGGGCATTGTAAAGCACTTATGAGCCAAATAGATAGTTACTGCTGGAATGTGGAAAATGTCGCAGTCCAATATTTAACAATACCCTGTAAACAGCAGTGTGATAATGATGACAAAATCTGTATTTAAAGATGTTGGTGAAGTAAATAAATATTGAATTGGAAACTAGAGAGATCTTATTTTATTCTTCAAAATAGTGTCCATCTGAGGGCAGGTGAAACTCAGTACAGTACTCCCTCAGCTCCAACCCTCCAACAGCACAGCACTTCCTCAATGTCTGCTGTCAGAAAGTGTGGCACTCCCTCAGCACAAACCCTCCAACAGCATGGCACTCCCTCAGCGCAAACCCTCCAACAGCATGGCACTCCCTCAGCGCCAACCCTCCAACAGCACAGCACTTCCTCAGTGTCTGCGGTCAGAAAGTGTGGCACTCCCTCAGCACGAACCCTCCAACAGCATGGCACTCCCTCAGCGCAAACCCTCCAACAGCATGGCACTCCCTCAGCGTGAACCCTCCAACAGCGCAGCACTTCCTCAGTGCCTGCTGTCAGACAGTGTGGCACTCCCTCAGCACCAACCCACCGACAGCACGGCACTCCCTCAGTACTGACCCTCCAAAAGCGTGGCACTCCCTCAGTGCCGACTGTCTTTGACAGTGCAGCACTCCCTCAGTGCCAACCATCAGACAACAGCATTTTCTTCATTTAAATAATACTTTGTTCTTTTGTTCTCCCTTCCAATATGAACAACTTCTCATTTTCCCATGTCATACTCTATTTAGCAACTTCTTGGCCATTTACCTAACCTATCTATATC